TTCAGATGCCAGTGGTCCATCTTGATACTCAAAAAATGAGCAGACATATCAGGAGATGATCTTGGTGTCTGATCTCCTGTGAAAGAAAGGAATATTAAAGCAGTGGAAGGACGGAGTACAGAGGAGCAATGCTTCAATGACTGGACTCAGAGTAGTGGTTAATGGCTCATATCTGGATGTCAGTAACAAATGGGATGCTTTGGCATTGATTCTGAGACCTTGAGAAGGTGATGGAATATTCTCTTACGTTTGTGGAAGGTACCAAATTGAGGTCTACGAGCATGAAGGCAGGGCTGGCATACAGGGGCACTTTTGCACCATGGAGAAAAGGCCCAGCCAAAACTTTATGAAATTCAACAATTGCCAATTCACCCAGGCCAATTGCAAAGCCTTGTGCCTGGGAAAGAAGGGCTCCTCGCAGTGAAATGGGCTGCACAGTAGCTCCTCTGGGAAGCTGTGGCAGCAAACATCATGGGCCAGCAGTGGTGTGCTGATCCAACAGGAGCACAGCCATTGAGTGGAGGAGAGGGATTATCCCTCTCTCCATGAAACCCATCAGACCACATCTGCAGTGCTGTATCCAGGTTTGAGACCCTCAGCACAGGAAAGGCACTGATAAAAACTAAAGTGAGTTCAGGAGAGGGCTGTCAGGATGGTTAGGGGCTGGAGCGCTCGCACTATGAGGAGAGGCTGAAACACCTGGGCTTGTTCTGCTGGTGAAGGGGCAGTTTCAGGGGATGCAACAACAATGTTCTGGTACCTTTGAGGAGATCTGGGAGAAGATGGAGCAGTGCTCTTTACTGAGCTATGTGGTGGGAGTGAAAGGGGCAGTGATCGTAAGTTGACACAAGATTGACTGGATATAAGGAAAAACTTCCTTTGCATGAGCGTAGTCATACAGTGGAAGTGTTTCTCACAGAAGTGACTGCTCACAGATTGCTCTCTGTCTAAAAGGTTTTCGGTACCCAACTGCACAACAAGCTACTTGAGCTACTTGATCTGATCTTATAGTTGACATGAGTTTGAGAAGGTGGTCGGATGAGGAACGCGTGGGAGTCCCTTCCAACACTGATTGTCCCATGCATCCAGCGCTGCAGGTGCTCGGCTCCCAGAGGCTTTCTGTTGGAATGCAGTCAATACAGGCAGAATGTTTAGGTGACTCAGCTGTAACGCACCAAAACAAAATAACCAAGTTGCAGTCAGCTTGACAAAAACATCAGTTGTCATTCAGGATATACCTTTTGGTGTCTCTTAGGAAGATGCATGTGGATCTCAAAGCATGCAAATGATTAAACTTTCTAAAGAAAAGATAGCCTTTGGTAATGTGAAAGTGTGTTTTTCCTGCCCCTGTCTTTGGAAAGGTGAAAAATGTATGTTTTACTTAAAATGAAAATATGGAAGGAGCTGAGCTTTCTGATGGATACACCCACAGAAGGGGTCATCTTGAAAGGCCTTTGGGAACTTAAAAGAAAATGAAAAATGAGTCTTCTATAAGGAAATATCTGGCAGCCTTAAACATCAGTGATCTTTCTGGGTCATTTGTCGTGATAGGTATGTTAATTCATATTATGCAGCTCATAATGCATCGTTTCAAGGTGCTGATTTTCTGACTATCTGCTAAATTGGTTGCAATCAATTTTGATTCCCCTGTCACTTCTCCCCTTCCCCCCCAAATACATAATTATTGCTTTATGGTAGCAATATTAATTCTGAATGTAAATGCTTCTTAAGAGTCAGCTTTTGTTATGCTTGTTTCAGAACCTTATGGTACTAAGGTGAATGCTTTTTGTAATGTTGGAGAGTTGCTTTTGCAGGGCAATAATAGCAATAAATATAACCATGACATGATTAATTCTGCAGGGAAAAGACTTGGGAATGTTGCTGTGAGCATCTTATGGAAGCTCCTTCTGGCTTCCTATGTCTTAGCATCACTCTTCCGTAAGGTTTTATAACATAATTGTAAGAGTTCTATTCCAACTATTTTCCTTATGTTTGTCTTTTTAAATAAATTTCTTATGTTGAACTTCACTGTAATTTGGTTAGAACCACCACAGTTCCATCATAACTTTTTTTTTGTAGAAGTGATTTGTGTGGGTACAACTAGTTTTCAAACTCATTGAAGGTTTTTGGTTTTTTGTTTTTTTTTTTTACAGTGTGCTTGTGAGAAAGTATGTAATAAATTAAATACATCCAATGTGCTGTTTGTTGTTTGGTTCATAGAACTTAATGGTTTTATTTTTTTATTTTGTTGATGAATTTGTTACATTAGCAGAATATTCAATTGCATAAATTACTTCTATGTCTATAAAGAGATTTCGGTTGAGCGAGAAGCAACACAGCCTCTTCCAAAAATGTGAACTTTCACTGTGACTGCCCAGAGCCTTTGTCTTTAGATCCCCGCCTTTGTTTATGATGATGAAATGCGGACTATACCTGAAAAATCTGTATGTGTTTGTTATGCTGTGCTAAGCTGACATTTTGCTGCTTCTTGGGTGTTTGCTAGGCAGCTCCCTCTGACAGCCATTATGGATACTCACACAGAGGTGCTGGTGTACTGGAGCACGAGCGCTTTCTGCTGTTGCACCGTACGTAGTGTGGAGATGGGCTCCTCTGAGCTGGTGGTTTGAGTGCATTACAAAGCTATGGTTGCTGGTAAATTATATATATATATATGTATTTTAATTTACAATTCTCTTGTTAAAATAATATTTTATAAATATATTATGTGTAACATGGGTTGATTTTTCGTAGCTTTTGTTATCTGCTAGAATTATTGTAAGGGGATTTTTATGTCACATTAGACATCTAGCATGTAGTCAGGCAAGCTGTCCAAGAGCAAGTGATGGTTATTGTGAAAGTAGGGAACTGGTAGAAGCCGTACGGCATTTCTGCAGGGTTGGTGTCACCTTGCTCAGGAAAGTAGAATAAGGGAACTTGACATTTGAAATTGGGCGTCTCATTTGTTTATCTGAAAACAGTGTTCTCTGTTTTGTTTTGTTTTGTTTTTTTACTTGAGAAAGTTGTTGATATTTTGAAGGAGTTTTAAGTGACTGCTCAGGTTAAGTGCCTGTGGTTTACATTGTATTATTAAAATGAACTTGCACACAGTGGTTTACTGTTTCTTCTGGATAGCAGGCAACCCAACACTTTGATTTTTACCTTTCATTTGGATACCCTTTTGACTTTTTTTTTTTTTTGGTGCCACGTTGGCTCAGGCATTTGAAAAAATTTTAATTAAATATATATATATATATATATGTGTGTGTGTGTGTGTGTGTATTTTATTTATATTTATATATATATTTATTTATTTATATATATATATATTTTTTTTTTTTTTTTTTTTGTTTTTTGGTTTTTTTTTTTTTTTTTTTTTTTTTTTCCCAGCCTAATCTTTGGTTAGTCCTTTCATATAACACAGACCCTACTGTTTTGTTAGTTTTGTGGATCCCTGCTGTAGTACTTTGACCTGGCAGGCTTGGTTAAATAATATCCAGTGCTCTCAGGCAGAGTTCCCTTCTGAGAGAAAGTCTGTGGAAGAGTCAGCTATGTAGGAAGATGAGCTGAGCGATGATACAATCCAATGTAGTAGAGGTTTAAGCTCGTCCTGTGTGCCACGTCGTACTGTGTTGGTGAACACGACCAGGCAGAACTTCAAATTTGGTTGTTTTTTTTTTTCCTACAAATTATTTAGGAAAAGGAATGATTGCTCTTGAATTATTATTATTATTATTATTATTATTATTATTATTATTATTGTTATTATTATTTTGTATAGTTCTATGCCTACTTTTTTGTTCCTAGACAAGCTCAGCGAGTGTTTGGAGATGTCATTTGGTGTCCCATCAGAAGAGTCAACCAAGCCATCAGCTGCCTCGTTATTGCTGAAAACAAATGTGAAAGAGAGGAAGCAGAATTGTACCCCCCTACTCTCAGAGTGCTGTTTCGAGAGTGCGTGCAGATTTTTCTGAGCATCTCTGACTTCCTTGATGTTTGTATAGTCGGTGTAAATATGGAAACGCTTCTTCACAGCTTAAATATATTTTCTCATGACACTGATGTGAAATGTTACAATATGTTCACACTGCTTTAGATAGCAAGGGTGTGTCCTGGGAGTTCATGAAGGTTATTGTTTCCTGCTGAGAGTAGTAGTTTGAGAGAGAAATTCAGGGATACCTGCAAGTCAAACACAACCAGTGCAGCTTTTGGCATACGAGGGGTAATCCAGTGATCGGACTCCTTAGGCAGTAAGTAACTGCTTGCTTGCTTAATGTCACCGTGTGGCAATTCCCTCATTCAAGTAGGTCTCAAAGCTATAAACAGAGTGTCATTAGATTGATAACCTCTGTTAGTTGCTTTTCTCCTGAGTCTCTTACAAAAGTGAAATATTGTTGTTTAAACATTTTAACTTCCTGGCAGAAGCAACCCTAAGTAGATTGATTATTTCTTTATATGACTAAGACATTTCTTATCAAAAAAGATGATAGCTTTAACTGTGCTTTTCAAGATAGTAAGTGCTTTGAAATGAAAGTGTATGGAATGGACTTTTGAACATCTCTTTTCTTGGATGTTGCTCAAGAATACTGTACTAACTTGATGTTCATTAGCTGCCATCATTTGGTGTTGAAGTGTATCCACAGCTCAGTGGTCCCTTTAGAATATGACTTTTTTTTTTTACTTATATACCAGATTGAATGTAATTCCAGACAAAAATGTGTTGCGAGTTGTGAATTCTCATCTGAGAATTTTTCAGCTGTGTTTAGACATGCTTGCATGAAGACTTTACTGTATTATGAAGGTGAACACACTCCCAGATGCACCCAGTTAGTATGAGTAAACAAAACAAAACCAATAAAAGAAAACACAAAAATTGATGTGACAGTAACTGAGGAAAAGCAGTGTTTAAAAGAAAAAATCACTTTTTGCGATGTATGAAGTAGCACATATCAGTGTGAAAGGTTTCTGATGGAATGTCTAAATCAAAGTGCGATATTCCTTTTCTAACTGCTTTTTTGTGGCACTCGGGCATTCACTAAGCTGCCCGCACTGCATGTGTCACTGCCCACAGTTCCTTGGTGAGTGTGGAGAAGTCTTGTGTGGAGAAGTTTTGAAGGAGAGGTCATCAGTTCTTGAAGATGCAGTGTGAGCCTCAACAAAACATTTTCTCTGCCATCTTTTGCCTAGCCCTTTTTCAGCTTAACTTCCCGTGTCCTGATGGAGGCTTTCGAAGCTTAGTGACAGGTTTGTCCTTCTTTACTTTGTTTAATGAGTTCAGGCACGGGCAGCCCTGGTGTCAAGTTGTACCTCTGTAAAATCACATACAGCGAAAGCTACCCCAAAATGAGCTTTTACATCAGATCTGTGTTTGCGTCTCAGTGTTTATTTTTTACTGATGTCTCAAAGTTTTTTGTTTATTTATTTGTTTTTCCCTCATTCTTCTCTGTTTTCTTTGCATATACTGCCTTACCCTTTCTGTTATATTGGCATCAAGATTTAATGGAAAGTCCAATTTCATAATTCCAAGCCCTTGACTTCCTTGTATGTTGGTCTGCCCCTCCTCACTGCTGTGGGAAAGGATGACCTGCGTCATGTCGTTATGAAAGAAAACACAGGTAACTGATGTAACCTAGGAAGTTGTTTTCTGTATGAAAACAGGGTTGTCCTTTGGTTTTATAGTGGTCACTCAGAGTAGCTGGTACCGCAGTCATTGGATAGTATAGAGGAACCTGAGTTACTACATACATATATACTTGCTTTGGAAATAAATAAAGGACTCAGTTGTGCAGCCTTTAACCCATAGTAAATGCATTGCAGGGAGTCTGTTTTCTTTCATACATTGCACACCGAAAGAGAGAAGATGATGAAACTGAACTGGATTAAACTAAATAGCAATAGGGCTAGAGGGAATGGCCTCTGGTTGCACCAGGGCAGGTTCAGGTTGCATATTAGGAAAGATTTCTTTTCTGGAAGAGTGGTCAGGCAGTGGAATGGGCTGCTCAGGGAGGTGGTGGAGTCACCAACCCTGAAGGTGTTCAAGGAAGGTGTAGGTGTGGTACTAAGGGACAGGGGGTTGTCAGCAGATACTGGCGGTAGGTGGATCATGGTTGGACTGGATGATCTTGGAGGTGTTTTCCAATCTTGGTAATTCTATGATTCTAAATATGTAGCTTTGAAAGTGATATTTTCGTTTTATTACTGAGTGGGAAAGACATGTATAATTTTCTAGAAATTTCCTTCATAATTGAAGCATCAAAAGAATAAGGGAGAAGTGCAAGATTGCCTAATGTGTAGTTAGAGGAGGATAAGAAAGCAGCAGAACCACTTCAGAAGGAATCTTCTTGCAAACCCTTAGTAATAGTTTCTTCTCGATATCACACTATTTTAGTCTGTGTATGGGCATGTACAGGTATGGAAAAGATGGGTCACAAAATGACTATGCAGAACTGAGCAACTTGAAAGACCCGAAACCTCTCTGAAATGCAACGTGCCTTATTTTTAGTAGATGTTTTTTCTCTAACATTTGGGCACTATAAAACTTGGCAAATGGTGTTGAAGAACAGTCTCAAAGGTATCTTCTGGTGTACTGAAACATACAAATAGTATACTTCTCTGTGTGTAATATTTGTGCTGATAGAAATGTGTTAAAAACAAATCTTCAGTGTCCTTCATGATCAGGTAACATCAGCCACGTAGGAGACCATTTTTGACAGCATTGTTCAGGTTTTGGTGAAATCAGTATCTCACTGAAAACCTCTGACCACTTCCTTGATCTTAATTGCTGGTGTCTCAGCTCTCATGGGCATCTTGACTTTTTTTTCTTTTTTTTTGCTCTACCTTTGATCAGCACGTGTCTGATAAATGTGAAGCCGCAACTCTCTGGCCCTGAGGGAAGAAATGGTGCCTCTTTCTTTTCTCTCAGGTTTCTGGATGCTGAATTCTGTTGGCAGCTATTCAGAGCCTTCCCATGGATTGGCAGTGGCAGGGATATGAAATTGCTACCATCTTTGAAATCTGCATAGCTGCTGGGATGGTTCTGAATCACAGCAGTGAAGGTGACCACAGTCTTGTTAGTGTCATCTTACTGCTATTTGGCTAATTGCGTAATGAAAGCGGAGTCACTGAAGCTGTTTGATGTATTTTGGAACAAAGTGCTATATTTTTATTTGGTTATTGTTGGAAAAACTTGGAGTAAAAGATATTATGTATGAGTTCTTGTATAATTCTCATAGCATTATCAGACCATGATCTCAATGTGAGCAGGTTTGAATTGCTGACCTTTTTAAGGAGGAAGAAAAAGGAAGAAGACAGGAAGGAACAGGAAAGCAATCTAAGGCACTAAGTATAATGCTGTTTTTCTTTTATTCTACTACTATACGATTTGTTTTATTACATAAAGGATTCTTAGTTCTGTTGGTACTGGTCTTGTATGTTGACTTTCCTGGGGGAAGTGTGCTTTGGTATTTGTAGGAATAACCAGTATTTGTGGTGAAAAGTGTGGTGTGTGTGTTTATTAATCTTAAAAGAAAACAATCACAAATCTATAATTTGGTAGGCTGAGATAAATCCTGGGGTTTTAAGTAGTCCCTCATAATTAATAGTAAAGACCCCCGTCTTTATTATGTAAATACAAAATTGGGAAAAAAAGCTTCTTTTGGCTTACAGCCATTTTTCTCTTTGTTGCATTTTCAATATCGCTGTCGGTTTTCAGTGATATCAATGATGCCGTCTTTCTTCCTCTGAAGCTTGCAGATTTTCATCTCAGATTTTTTTCCTTGCTGAGACTGACAAACTTTATCTTCCAACCATTTGCTTTTATAGGATAGGCCTTCTATTTTGATCTAATTCCTGCAAGAATTACTTGTAAAACTGTACTGCACAAATAATTTCCTTTCGTGATTTTAAACACAGTTTTGTTTCTTCCTGAATTTCTTGACCTTATTTGAAGAGAATGGATTTTGCCAGCATTTCGAGCCTTTGTTTCTTCTTCATGTTGTCTGTATTCTCCTTTAAGAATTTAATTTCTCTCTGTTGATGATTTTTTGCAGTCTTTTCCTTCAGTAGCCTCTGTCTAGGAAGAGTTCTCTGTAATTTTGTTGTTTCTAAATTTGCTTTTTCTTTTTTTTTCTTCAGTTTTGTTGTTGTTTTCTTAGATCTCCGAAGATGGTTACTGTTTTTCCCTTTAGCACATTTTCTGTTTTATTGGGCTTTATGTGTGTGTGTGTGTGTGTGTGTGTGTGTGTGTGTGTGTGTGTGTATGCATGAATGCGTACTCCTCCAGATTTATCTGCACTTAATTTCTGTTTTCTTAAGTTGGTTTGATTTCAAATCCTTTTTGGCCTTATCAGCACAAATAAATAGATCCATAGTCTGGCCTTGAGGACAGCTGACATGGAATGAGATCTGTGCATTTGGTTAATCTCCCAGCTTTCAAAGCAGGTAGCTGCACACACAGCATCATTTGGAAGTTTTCCTGACTGTGCGATAACCCTGACACTGTTCCCAAGGGGCATTTGGGAGAGTGAAGTTGACCCTTCCCAAAAACATTTCAGGGCTTGTTCTTATATGATGATTTGCATTTCAGTGCAGCAAAGTTTCAGGCACCATTATATTGATGCAAACTTTCAGGTTCAGAGCTTCAACAAAACTGACAGTCAACCCAGTTACTAAGAGGGTTAGTGCTCACTTATGTCCATGATCTGCTTCTGAAAGCCTTATTCTGTGAGTCATTAATGCTAAATCTGGTGCTTTGAAAGATTCTTCTGGCTGTCAAAAAGAAAGGCAAAAGAATCAAAACCAAACAACCTCTCTCTCTCATCCATTTTAATCTTCTTGTTTGGTAATTTTTCTTTTCTTTCTCTCACTGTACAATATTCATGTTAGTGTTATGTGGATACTTTCAGGGTATTTGGCTTCTGTTACTCTAGATCTCAAAATGAGCATGTAATCCTTTGATATTTATGACAAAATTTCCTACTTTGCCATTTGCATCTGTACTTTGCAAACCAAACATATCTTCTAGCTTCATGAAGCATCCCTGTAAACGTGTCATCAACTGAGTTGTATTTTTATTTACATTCCAGCTTATCTTATTTTATTCTCCTTAATTTTGTCATCAGTTTAGAGAGAATAAGAAAACCTGAAGGTAGTCTACTGATTGCCATCTTTTCTTCCTGTGATTCTTCAACTAACGGTGCTCCTGCTTCTCACTTTGGAATCAATATTTAGATTGCCATTTATCATTCTTATTTTATTAAAGAGGGAAATCTCTGCCTTTAATTTGCTCATTGGTGATACAAATGACAGCAGATTTTTAACTTGCCAGTCTGGGAAGCACAGATGGCAATTCACATGGCTGAAGAGAAGTGGAACTCTGGGGAACTGAAGCGCAGCATACGCTTTTCAGGTTTGCAGGCAGCTAAGAGAAATCCAGTGCTTCCCATGTCTTCCCCAAATTTCCCCAGATCTGCATCACACATGCAAGTGTATGATGTGGTAGAAATTTCATTATAGCACACATGAAACTTTGTATAATGAGAAGTACAGTGATGGGGCACTCCCAAGTCTGCCTTATGGGAATATTGTGATGTCAGCGAGAGCCATTTGTTTTTGAAATAAAAGGGAAAAATGAGTCAAATATCTGAGCCAGTGCCTCTTGAGACGGGAGTGGAGGGAGAGCTTAGGAAAACAGTTCTGTTGGTTTAGTACATCTGGGGTGACCTGCCTCTTCACAGACTAATAGATTGAAAGTGTTCTTGTATGTGGGATGTTGTTCAATAACATAGTTATTAGATCAGCCTTTAGATATGTTTGTGAAAGAAGTCCATTAATTGTATCTAATGAAATCCATTAATTATATACCATTCTCTATCAGTCCTGTAGGCTGAAACCGGTATGTGTCAAAGTTTTGATATCATAAAGTGACTTTATAACAGGGTATAAACCAAGACCAAAGTCAAAGTGGCGAAGTGATACCTGATAATAGAAAAATTAATGCAAGTAAAGTAAATCTTATTTGATGGGGAGCACAGGAAGAATCCTCTGTATGTCACTGCTAATGGCTGAATCCTCAGAGCCTTTATTCGCTGTGCTGGAGAAGTTAGATGTTAGGACTTTCATCCTTGAATATTATGAATTCAGTGTGGTATAGCTTTTCCTAAGCTGCTAATAGTAAAGAATCTTTGACTAGTGCATGTAAAAATTATTTTATACATATAAAGATTATTTTTAACTCTGTTCCCCTGGGTTGTACTTTTTTAATACATTTGTTTAAGGAAACTCGCTTTGTATCAGCAGCTTAACACTGACTCCAGGCAGATGTACTGCAGGGTGGAAGAAATCAACTGCATTATTGAAGCCAAATAACTGCTTGTCTTCCCCATAAGGTTAACTTCCTCTTTTGTCTTTAAACTTGAAAACGCTTTGGAGTTTTACCTGATTTACAGAAGGAATAATTATTTTTTTGTTATTTACTAAGTATGAAAAAATGTTCATTGTAGCATTTTAACTCTTGTTGTTTATTTTTTAAAAATGACTTTGTTGGAATAAATTGTTTCTTTTTCTGTAATATTTTTTCTGTCACTTCAATTTTAGTCACTTCCCTGCCAGATACTTGAAATAGTAGAGCCAGCACTGAAATGAGCAAGTTACTGACTTTGCTAAAAATCTGGTCTGTTTGCTTCTGAATAGGAAGAAATGATGATAGTGCTCAGTAGCAGAGGATGGATTATGTGTTTGGAGCAATAAATAGTGGTTTAAGTTTCACAAAAAAAACAAAAATAGAGTGGATTTACATACTCCAGTGCTGATGAGAACTCCTGGCATAACCAGAATGCTAATCAGAGGTAGAGGGATCTGGGCCATAACACAACCCTATCTGTTTTCTTCTCACATGGTTCAAAGACACACAAGGTGGTTTATAGCTTTTAAAAAAAGTTGTTAGGACCAGCCAATAAATAATTTGCATTTAGGGCATGGTTTGTAATACTGATCAGTCAGACTCAGAAAATACTGAGTCTCTCAAAAATTCAGGAAAGAAAAGAATTTTTGGGATTATGCTTATGTTGAACTCAATGTCTTGAAAGAAAATTTGGCCAGTGAAGCTAGGAAAAAATAAGAACAGTCTTTGTTGAGTGTTGGAGAGTGCATGGGAGAGAGAGATAGCACAAAATAAATATGTCTGAGGGAGAAATTCAGTTCCAAAACTCTGGAAAAATCAGATGATGAAATTTAGTCTTGAAAACTTAGTAATGGTGAGAATGAAAAGCAGTGGTTTCATATGATCTTTTCTACAATTACGTAAAGAGGCTACATTAGATGACAAGATTGAAACCAGAGGCAAAAGTTATAGATGAGCATTGGAGATTTATTGGTTCTGGAATATCAGAAATCTTGGGAAGCTGAGAAAAGAATTGATTGTTGTTGGTTGTAATGAGTCCAATTTTTACCTGATCTGTTCTTCAAGGCTTCCGTTGGTAAGCCTCCCTGTGAATGGAACAGGAGGGAATAGTTACTTATTTATTTATTGCCCTTGTGGTGCATAATTTATATTGTGCTGTTTTATTCATTCTCTTCCAAAGCAGAGGCAATTTGTCATCGACCAAAGATGGGATTTTGAGTGAGGTGATTCTTCCTGTAGTAGTGGGAGAGTAGTCCTGGCCTGGAGTATGGGTCTGATATCTGTAATCAAATTTAAATGCTTGACCCCATCGTATGGGGATGGGGAGGGAAGGGAATTTTTTCTCCCCTCCACGTTCCTGGAGTGCCATGAATATTTTCATCTAACACCCAGTAGTTGCAGGGACCTGTGATGTGGCTGGCATCCTTGAATTCACTTCTCTTGCTGTTTTGCATTCATATTTTGTATATTTTTAAAGTTCCATTCAAATTACATTAGCAGTATTCACAACCTGTTTGGACTTTGGATCCAGCCTCATATGACTGTGGCCTTTTGGTACTGCCTTTGATTAAGTTGCTTGCAGATAAATCAACTTGTAAATTTACTAAGAATTCTTTTCATTACATGAGATGTTAACATTGCCAGTTCATGTTTACTATGAGCTCATCTGCCTCAATCTATTTTTCCATACGCACGTCTCACACAGTGTACTGCTTACCTGTTGTTGGAATTGTAAATATGAACTTCTAAGAAGATAAAACACATTGCCTCATGAAATTAGAATCAATCATCACAGTGGGCTGTGCTCTACTAGCTTCATTATAAGGCTTCCTCTTGGTACAGATGGGCTCCATACTCAGTTTTGCTTGGCTTGCTGGCTGACCTTTGGGTGATCGTTTCAGCTCTCCATTTTCATTAAACAGGTAGTGTAGCTGATTGGATGACTCCTTCACTGCAGTCAAGTTAAGTAGGTGACCTTTAAGGGTCCTTTCCAGCTCTAGTAATTCTATGATTCTGTAATGAGAGATGCAATAGAAATAACTTGGTTTTGCTGGAAAGCTAAAAACAAACAAACAAAACACACACACAAAACACCCTTTTGTTCTTGCTGTTATGTATGGTAACAGTGTTGTGTTTTTGTTTGGATTTCTCAGATCCTTATTACAGGAGAAGCTGTGTGGCCTTACTGAGTGCTGCTCTAACTGAAGTATACTGAAACCATCCATCTCAAATGGAAACGAAAATAAGCCATCTCACCCCAGATACACCATTTTTGGAAGTTCATGGGCTCTGACCTTATAGATGAAGCTTGTTTTAAATAATTTATTACGTGAATGAAAAAAACCAACCCTGAAGAATTAGGCCTTCTCAAAAAATTATTTCTCCATGTTACCACTTGTGAAATTAATTTAGGGTTGCCTGTATAGTTGCTCAACTTCTTTTCAAAATATAAGGTCACTTAATAACTTTTAGGCAAAAATAAGATTAGTTTGGCAGAATTCTCATTGCAGTAAAATACAGTTAGCAGATGCACTTATCATTTTCTCTTCAGTCCTGTTCCTGGCACTGTTGTTACTTTAATTAGTTTCTGATTTATTTTTTATTTTTTATTTTTTTACTTTTTGCTAGCTTCCCCAATTTTGTCCCTTTCCTTGAAGTCAGGCTCACAAATTAACTTTTTCAATATCCAATTTATACTATCTTGAAGTCTGATATTTGCAGTTTTTGAATGCTTTTTCTCTTCAACAGTCACAAGCAACACTTAGTTCAGTATCTGCAGCTGTTCTGAGGTAATGAGACCACAGTTACGAAGTGATGCAATAACTCCATGCCTTGTGTATAGTCAGTGGATATAAAGCTGTTATAGTTATGAAATAAATAAGAGAGTTTGGCAAAGCAGATTATAATAATAAAAAGAAGATAGATAGAATGCTTACCCATATTCTGGGCTCACTGCAAAGCTCAGAGGAGGGATCTCCAGAAGTGATCCTTTCCCACTGGTAGCCAGCTCTTCAGTAGATCTAGGAGAGGCACAGCCAGGCTCCACTCCTTCCGGCAGCACAGGTGAATTGTGGAATTGCCTTCAGCTGTGCTCCCAGGGCTGACTCACAGCTCACCTCAGGTGATCAATCAGAGGTTCAGGCTGTGATTCAGCAGTTCCATACACCTTGATAACTCAAAAGTAAGATTTCATTGAAGACAATAACTTCCTTAGTATGTACACTCTGCTATGCATGTTATGTAAAAATATAAACAGACCAGTTTAATTTTCTTATATGTTGTTTAAAGGTAGATCCTATTTTTGCCTTTGTAGCAAATATTTTAGTTTGAGTAGTTTATTTTATTTTTGGCATCTGAGACTGTGTTAGAATCCTTAGGCTATAATTTTTTGTAGTTCTTTCCCTCCCCCACCCAGGCCTGGCTATATATATCCAAACAATTACTCTGCTGCTTTCTTTTCCCCTCACATCCTGAGTTTGTTTCCCAGCTGCCTTGAAAGCCTATACTTTTTTGTTTTGTTTTGTTTTGTTTTGTTTTGTTTTGTTTTTTGGGGGGGGAGGGTGGAGGATGGGAGTGAAGCAGGCATTGCTTTTTTTTTCAAATTGCAGTATCAAGAAAGATTATTTATGTCTATTGATTTCTGTTTTCATGGGAGTTACGAGACATGTCAGTTGTCTAATCATAAAACAGAGCAACTTTTTAAAAATATGGATGTTTACACGCATCTCTTGACTGTATGTAGTGGATAAAGGGTGAAAATACATACAAAGATTTAAAAAGAAAAAGGGTAAAAATTAACAATCTTCTTTTCCTCTTCTGTTTTCAGAGAATTAACTAGGCTTCAAAATGAAAGTGAGGAAGAAGAGTCCTGGAAAGTATTAATTTGAACAGGAATAATTGTTGGTAAGTAGATACTTATTTATTTCTGTGATATTGCTGCCACCAAGACAATGGCTAATGTGATAAAGCTAGATGAGGAACTGTGCTTCTTAAGTAACAACTGAAAACTGTCCTTCTAATGGCAAATCAGTGTTATTTGGAGAATGCAAACTTTGCAGCACAGAGGTCAGGTCCTTTGCTAGATGTTTTGTGGATTCAGTTTGAAGAATGCCTTTTTCTTTAATGTCAGATTGTTGACAAAACTGGGTCAGTCGAACTCCTGTTTCACCTTCCTTTTCTTTCCCTATCTCCTCTAGAAAGTGATTGTTTTATGGATACATTGTGCATCCTCTCTCCTGTGTAAAAGTCCTTCATCTCTATTCTTAGGTTCTTTCATCTTCTCTGAATTGCAGATACTGCATTTGTCAAAGATAAGCAGTACTTCTGTAGAAGTTATACAACGCATGTGATTCTCCCAGGTTTCTCTGTCAGAACTGTGAGAGCTACATAATTGCAGCTGGAAATAATTGTGTGCTTTGGGATATTCTAAATCCAGGGCTATGTTTCCTCAAATAGTGACATATTAAAAATGTAATGTTACATGCTCATATGCTTTTGAAGGTCTATTCATGAGCTGTAACATGCATTTAAATAAATGAATAATAATAAATATATCTTAAAATCTTCTTTTTAAATACTGATTATAGAGTGAAATGAACTTCACTGAAATGTGAATTCAGGTGCGAATCTAGAACCCAAGCCTGTTATGACATTATTCTTGTTTGATGCAACTATAGGAAAGACTCTTATGATCATTAGTGGTTATGGTAAGCATAAGAAGATTTTAACAGCTTCCTGAACTTTCAAGACTGAGTTTCACAACCATCTCAGAGCAAGTTTGTTGCAGATGAGATGCTTTTACTGTTCACACAATTTCAGTAATGATTGTGAAGTTATCTGAAGACAGCTAAAGTAGTCTGAATTATTGTGATCTATTTATATGGAATTAACTCTTGAAGGTTACTTAAGGATTTGATGGATGATTTATAAAACAAAAGCAACCTAAAAAACAACAAAAAAAGAGTTTTTGAGGATCTCTTGGCCAAAATAGAACAAGAATATGGAGATAGGTTTCCTCAAATTGGGTTAGCCGTTGTTAGCCTGCAGTTGGAAGACGTTGGCTGTATTTCCTGAACACTGCTCTCACTTCACTTTGTTCTGTTTCTGACTATGTTGAAACCATTTGTGAATTGATTTATGTCAGAAATGTAGCAAAAAGATGTGTCAGTGGGTTGGATTAACTCAGATAAGAGTTCAGAAAGTGTTAAAACAATACAAAGGAAGAAACAAGAACATGCAGGTGGTAACAATGAGTGTGAGAGCATAACCTGACCATTTAGGCAGCAGAAAGTCAGTCGATCTGTCCAACTTGTGGAAGGGCTGTGTCAAAGTTGTTAGGCCAGAAATAGCCGATGTCATTTTTGAATAGAACAGAGTACAGCTTTTGTGACAGTGTTGGACTAAAACTGGGTAATCTTGCCAAATTTTTCCTGGTCTTTGCTGTGAGTAGGGAGTGACCTTCCAGCACTGAATAGAAACAATGATAGAAAATAAGTTTTGAAAATCTCTTAGCAGGCAACATCTGTAATAGTCTCTCTTCCTCCCTATATGTAAAACCTGTAAATATGTACCAATTTATAAGAATCGTGCAAACCATTTATTTTCAGAATTTGCTGATCCCTTGAACGTGCTGCCCTACAAATTCATAATACAGTAATTGCTCCGTGTCTTTTTACATATTTTTCTGTGTACCCATTTGGTTTGCTTGTGTAGTTGATGTTACAAAGCACTGTAAAATTAAAAGGGTGATCTATATTTGTTTTTAGTTTGAGCCTGGATGTATGTGTTATTGTTGATATTTTACTTGTTGATATTTAGTTTCTGTAGTACAGTTTGTGCTGTGCTCACGCTGCCTTGGTTTGTTGGTGATGGTGGCAATTGTTCCTCTGTTAGAGAATCAGTCCTTCTTTCCTAATTGAAGGAACACTGAGGTTTAGAACTGCATGAAACTCCTTTTTGCTGAATGGTGAATTTTTCGTATTCTGAAAGACATTTCAATCCTTGATTGGAAATGCTGGAAGTTGTTTTTTGTCTATGAGAGGCTTTTGAAGATAAATAATCCCTGAAAAAGGCTTGTATGTGTTGAGTTTTCAATTCATTGAATGGGCACCTGAAATCTTGAATAGGTATTTTTTATTTCTACGAGTCAAAATGTATCAACATGTGATCTCCAATGGAAAAGAAAAATATCTTTCCAAAGGAGTATGTTGCTTATTTAGTTCTTCTTACCAAGATCAAAGCTGAACCATTCATGTGTGTTTCTAAAGTTTCAGTCTAGTATCTTTCTTGTTTGCAGAAGCAGCATATAATCTTTCCGTGTATTACAATGAGTTTTGGATTTTTTTTTTTTTTGGATGAAACCTTTTCCTAATGGTCTAAGTAACTTTACGTCATGAATTGATCTGAATTTAAATTTAAACATTCCAGATCTTAAACATTGAATGGGAATATGAGAAGTTATTCTGATGGATATTATCTGGTTACAAATTAGTATTTTTATAGTGCCTGAAAAATCAAATTTCAAGTATCATTGATAATCTAACTTCAGACATTATAAATGATATAATCTTTTACACCAAACTAAGACTTAAATATTGAGGAATTATTTAAGGAGGTAAGATCAGAGGAAATAGGCAAGAATAAACCAAGAGGTGAACAAATATGAACTTGCTACTTGAAATAAGCATATGTATGAAATAATAACTTATTCTTATTTTGGAATTGAGAGGTATTTAATTAACCCAAATAACTGAATAACTTCTTATAGCTTATACTGGTAATATGTCAGTAACTGGGAGATGCCGCTTGAGAATGTTAATATAATGAAAGCTTACGTGTCCATTTCTTTAATCAGAAATGTGTTCTGTAATTTTTAGAGTTGGACCGGTTGAATGATTTTAACCTGTTGTAGCCAAATATCATTGTCTGTCCTGCATCCAAATATGTATGCAGCATATGTAATACCCAAATGAAGATCATAAAGACAAAAACCTGCATCAATGTGGTAATTCAATTTTTCTGATAGCACGTTCAGATCTACTTGGTGGCCACTTCTTGGTTCTGTAAACCTGTTCCCTTTGATCTATTTTTTTTTTTGACTCTGTTCTGGTAGCTGTCAGCTTCAAGTACAAATAGGAGAAGATTAAAAACAAAAGAAGTTTTGTCAAATGTAGATAAACGTCAGGATTACTTTTATATAGAAACATTCAGTAGTTTCTTTTTTATATAGTATGATATAATCATATTACACGTATTGCAGTATTCTATTGTGTTTACAATTTGGTTATTAAATGGTAGCTAAGAAACTCTTCAGAAACTGACAGAACCTGTCAGTTGCTTTTACACTCAGTTGTGGCTGTTTTTTTCTTTTTGGTGTCTTGTTCTGTTTTTAAAGAAATGTTGAAGTAAACCTGAGTCTAAAATGGCTGAGAAAAAAGAAATGCCTTGCCAGTTATAGAGTGATGCACTTGAAATTATCCCAGTGATGCTCATACCAACTTTTTGATCAGCTTGATCTTTCCTAAAGATATTTGTTATAATTGATATTAGCTGTGTTGAAATTGGTTAATGAACAAAAACAACGTTACTCAACAGGGAAATTTCATACCCTTAAGAGGATTCCTTTAAGGCTGAATAATGGGGGATTTTTAGTCATTGTCTTTGCTAGCTCTTAGAAATACTATATGGCTCAAAATAAATGTGTAAAATTCTATGTTTAATTACATAACAGTACTGTAATAGTAGGAATAGATCACTAATTGTTAAATTGCTTGGTTAGTTGGGCTTATTTGAAGAACTTGCATTTGGATAGAGACAAATGTGCAGTCCCACATCTAGTAACATATTAGTGTAGATAACACTTAAAGGTTAGAGATGGTATTTGGTATTAGATGCTTGAGAAACTGATTTTGATTAGGAAAAAGGAGAAAAAAGCTTGAGAGAGGAATTTTCTCAGCTTCTCTTGTGGTTTTAAATGTTCATCAGCCTTTAAATGATATTAAAGGCTCATCAGCAAGCAGAGATGGGAGGCGTGATACATTAGTGACAGTGCAACAGGACTGTGTAGCATGCTGTCCACTTGAGAATGAAAAAAAGGGAAGATTGTCATTGACTTTGAAAATGGGACTGAAATCTTACTTTAATGCTGAGGGAGTGAACGTGTTACAGAATGCTGCAGTCATACCATTACGCTTCTCAGTATCACGCTTCCTTTTGCTAACATCTTAGCAACTGTCTCACTCTTAGCCAAATTCAGCATATTACTGGTAACATTTTACACCAACTTTTATGTAAAACATAATGTGTAACAGTAACAGGGATATTAAATACAGTGAAATCTGTCCTTATCTTGAGGCATTACAAGCTTCTTTTCAATCAAACGCGTATTAAAGGGTCATGTTGCATCATCTTTTACAGTAGTTTTATCACTTCTTTCTTCTCTTTAGAAGTATTTTCCCTGCCAGATAAGTGTAGAATACTTATGACCAAATATTTGCATTGTAATTCTGCCATTGAATATATGCTTTTCCAAGAAAAATACGAATTGGTTTTTAGAAAATCCTGTTCTTAACGGTGCTTTTTGCACCTGCCCAACCATGTTAATTAATATTATTTATTTATGTATTTATTTATTTATTTATTTATTTATTAACCATAGAATGTACTCCTTTTACTTCTATATTTAAAATTGGCTTAGGAAGGCAGAACTGGTGTATGTATCTATTCACTCTTGATCCATCTCATTTCAGAACTTCCATTGCCTTAAAATGTTTGGTTTTTTTTCCTGTGTATTACAATTGCAGTGCTACACAAGAAGTCATGCATTTAATATCTCTTTATATGCAGTGATTTCTGTTTAGTTCATATTTCCAATTGATTATCTGGTGACCGATAGTAATCTGGGA